GAGCCGGGGCCGAGTCCGCGGGGCCGGCTGGCTTTCTTCGTGCCCTTTGGAGGGAGGCACGCCCTCGGAGGAACGGCGCGGCAGGGTCCGGGCCTCGGGCCCCGGCAGGTCCGGGCCTCAGAGCCGCACGGCTGCGAGGAAAATGAGCGTGGGCCCTTCAGTTAGAGTCGGGTCGTGACGCTGAATTGAGCCCGGTGTCAGATTTGTATCTGAATTAGCACTGGGAGGACAAAAAATATTTTCCTTGTGAAGGCAACTGGTTCGATTAACCTTACAGTCTGCAACAGCAGTCTGTTTTCCTCTTTCTGCAGGCATGTAAGAGCTAGTATGACTGTAGGTACCTATCGCAGCCAAAATGAACTTACACGTAATGGAGCTAGCCTTTAATTTGTGAACTATAAAATGTGTCACTTGTTTGAAAGCTAATATATCTGACTTTAATTTCTTTTTAGTTTTAGAATGGGTAATAGCCTGCCTACTTCTGTAGGACTGTCTAATGATGCTGCTGTGAATCAAATACAGGTAACTATTTATGCAATTCTTACTTGTTTCCAACATTTCTAAAAGCCATAGTTACTTCAGAGCTCTTCTGATTTATACAAAGAAATTCTGTAAATAGTTCTGCATGTTGAACCAGATTGTTGTATTTATTAATTAATACTGACAGCACTGTTTATCCATAGCCCCATAACTTGATCTTCCTAGGCTGCATTCATTATAGTTTTTTCAGATCTCTACACAAATGCAGTACTGTTGTCAGCATTGGGAATTAAACCTTGTAAAAGGACTGATATCATGTAAAATAAGTATTTCAGAAATTGTTTCTTAAAGCAAATATATTGATACTAAATCACAGCCTGAAATTACCTTGAGTTTACAGTAAAGTAATAGGGGTATTTCTTTCTCCCCCTCAGAACCCTTTTTGTCATTCTGCTTGCCACCTGCACATCCTGTCTGCCTTGCAGACAGTGAGAGCTTTACGGAATAATTAAAGGAGGTGCAGCCGGTTTGGCAGACTGTAGGAGGTCTGTGACTGCAGAGCAAAAGAGGGTATGGGTCGGCACTGTTACGTGGCAGTCATACCACGTGCTCCACAATCATTCTGCTCAGTTTTGGAGTAAGGTGCAGGTCATACACAGCTTCATTGGTGCCAGCAGTGCAGGTAGAGATTGTTGATGCCAACTCTATTTCTGTGCACCCACAAGATCATAGCATTCCTGAGTTAGATATTGCTGTGTTAACTGATTCCAGGTATTCTACTGAAAGAATACAGCATACCTTTTCCTGAAAAGCTTAAGTGGAGCAGAAGTCACCTTATCTTCCATGCAGTTCTGTGCACTGCTGAAGTTGCACCTCACTGCCTATTGCAAATCTTGCACAGATGCTCTTTGGGATCTGGCCAAGTGCAACTGCACATTTTGAGGTCGAGTCTGACCTTCTTTGCAGTAAGGGACGAAGCAGTTTTTATTGTGATGTATGGGGCGCATCCCCAAAGGAGGTGCTAGGCCACTGCAGAGGTCTTCAGAACAAATGTGGGGTGGGTATGTTTTGCACCCACCATACAGGTGATAATACCTTCTTGACAAATGCCTTGACAGGAGTCACTGTTCTGCTCCTTGCTTTTAAAGAAAAATAGTTCATTCCTTGCCTTAAGATTCTTGTGGCTCTACATTAGAAGTAGGGAAAATTTAGAAGCTAAACTAGCTTTTTATTTTACCTTAAAAAGCTGAGAATAAAGTACAGTGTTTTGGAAGATTCTTCTGAAGTAGCCAGTCATCACTGCAGCATGTCTGGAACTCCTCAACTGTCCCCGTTAAAAATACCTCAAAGATTTTTACAGAGTAATTTTCCTGTATTTGTTACCATAATAGCAGGTCTTTAACTTATGTCTTTGTTTTCATGACTGTTCAGTACTGTTGAAATACACTGACTTAAAGCATGCTGACCTGAACATTCTTTCAAACATACAGGAGATTATTTCAGACAACTGTGTGGTGATTTTCTCTAAAACAACATGCATCTACTGCAAAATGGCAAAAAAACTTTTTGAGGGTATGAATGTAAATTATACAGCTGTAGAACTGGACATGAATACAAATGGAAGTCAGTTCCAGGACATTCTTGAACAGATGACTGGTGGCAGAACAGTAAGTATATTTTCTTACATGTAACAAGCGAAGTAAAAACTTACACTACACACGTTCCTCATGGGTTATGACCACATCAAGTTCTTTTTTTTTTTTTTTTTGAGATAAAGTAATTTCAGGATATTCCTAAATTAAAGATAAGGTACCGCAGAAGGGCTCTGTACCATTTCTTGCTCTTGAGACCGTCTAGCTATCCCCCTGGGGTGATCTTTTCCATACAGCCACTCTGAGAACTGAAGTATCAAAGTCAGTTTTCATTTATATAGGTATATTTAATCCATTGTGTTTTAACACTTATCTTGTCATTTCATTTTATATACTCGCCTCAATTATTTGAATTTATTACAATCTCTCATACAGTGACTTTATCCCACTTTTGAGGGGTATGTGTAGTTTCCCATCTCTAAATATTATGAAAACAGTTGTACAGTAATATTAAGTATGCTGTATAAATATTAAATATCATGTATACTAGAGTCCACATGAGCTTGCTTAGATTTTTACCTCTTTTCCAAGAATTAACTAATGCAATTTTCATTTTCTTGATAGGTCCCAAGAGTGTTTGTCAATGGGACTTTTGTTGGAGGTGCTACAGATACTCAGAGGCTTCATGAGGAAGGCAAACTGCTTCCATTAGTTCATCAATGTCAAGTGAAAAGAAAACCCTGAACAGCCATCTAGATTAGCTTAGTCTTCCTTTGTATAAACAGAATTTCAGAGAAGTTAGAAGATCACAAAGATACACTGCTTCAGCTGGACTCCAACTTCAAGCCATGGATTCCTGAATCATATTCTCTCACAGACTTGGCAAATTACCTCGTGTCTTTGCCTCAGCTTTACCACAATCAAAATGGTAATAAAAACCACTGTGTAACTTTTGGGGCTCTAAGTGTGAGATAGTGATGTAATTTAATTGCTATTACATCCTAATCCTAGGCTTCAGAGAAGTATAGACTGTACAAGAATCCTGTCTTCTTTTTTTCTGCTAATTAGTTTGCTTGCAAGCTTTATTCCAACACTTAGAGGAAGTGGTCAGTTTTAATTTAATGGTTCCCTTAAATTTAATTCTTCTCTGAATGTCTAATTGTAATCATGAATAAAGTTTGAAGTAAACCAGGTTTATAATGATACTTCTGTATGCATGTCTGCCTCTTACATTTCAGCATGTCATCACCTAGCTAACAAACTGTATGCCCAGTTACTACCAAAAAGGGAATAAAGATTCTTGCAGCATTAGAGGGGTAGGTAATTGCTTTCATCTCTACTCTGCACTGTGAAGTATCAGTCTATATGTGTCATTCAGGAATATCGTTCTTGGGGAGCCAGGCAGCTCACTGTCACTAAATTCGGTGGCTACAAACTTTGTTATGATCAATCCAGCACTATCATGAAACTTAAGACCAAGTAAAATTAGTCTAATATGCATAGAGTTTATTTAGTACTTAAATTCTACAGTCGGAATGCAGTTTGCTAGTGATTTTAACTTGCAGTTAAATGTCTAAAAGAAATGTCTAAAATTCAATAGTTTCAGTACAATGTACATCCAAAGCCAGACCAGGCAATGCCAAAACTCTTTGTTATTTCAAGAAAGTTCATATGCAAGTAGAAAATTATCTCTCATTCCTCAGTAAAAGAGACCATTACACTACTAAAGGTGCACAGTTTAGAATAAAAACATTAGTCAATGAATTTTTACTCACTTCTAAGACTCTTATTATTTCCATTGCTTTCAGCACTGCATGCACCTAAACTACTTTTTTCCATTCAAGGCAAGAAAGCATCACCTTGATCTTCAACTCCAGGTAACTAGAGTATAATTTAAAATTTGACAGCTTCATTTTTGTAATGCGGGTTTCAAATAAGTTTAACCTGCCTCATTTGGAGAAAATTTTTATTATAGAGTTGCCTGCACTGTGCATCTTTAACGTGTAATGAGCTAATTAAACACACTGACCTCGTTACATTTTTATTATTGCAGTTTACTGTATTTTGCTAGATTCACCACTGCCTTATTAAAATTTTGCTTACAAGATCACACTCATCAAGGTAAACACACACAAATGTGCATCTCTCTCTAAATGTATACTTAATAAATCAATTTATTTTGCAAATACAATGGTAACCAAGTATTCTTTTTCTCTGTGTGGAATTCTTAGGCCAGTTATGTTTTCTCACAAAATTAACAACAATTTTGTACCTGAAAGATGGTAAATCCATCATGTAAAAATAACAATATTATGCAAAGGAATTTTTCAATGACCTTTTCATTTTGTTCCCAGTTTTTTAAAAAAAAAAAGTCCCAAAACAGTAGTCTAAAATAACCCTTTGAGTTCTATGTTTCTGAAGTCCCAGGGCATTGTCACTTAAAGCACTGCTCTATTCCAACTGTTGAGAAAACATGCTGTGTGCCTGCAGATTCAAGTGAGTGCCCATTTATTAAAGATAGTCTTAAGGCACTCAAAGGGTTAATTATGCTTCTTTTTTTTCATCTTAAGGCTCCCCATCCAAATAGTTTCTCATTAATTTTCTTAGAAAGTAGCAGCAAGATGTGCCTTCATTACTGGATGGCACAAAGCCATGTTATGTTTAAGTTATTTAAACATGATATGGCGGTTAAAGTGTGGTTCTACTCTAGAAAAAAAAAAAAAAAAAAAGACTCAAAAAATAGTCATTAAAAATTTCCATATTTTTTGCTTAGCATTGTCTCCAGGACAAAGCTGTTTCTCTTAAAAATAATGCTTGTCCTGGAATCTGAATGTTAAGAAGTATCAGCAAAAAGATCTTGTACTTAGATTTAAGATGTACCTGCTCACTCAGCTTAAATCCTAAAAGCAGGAGAAGCTGGAAACAAACATCAAGTTAGTTAACTAAGTGGGTAGAACTGTGAATGTGCCCATCTGTTGCTTCTTTATACAGAATCATTTTTAAAGAGTAGAACTGCACTTTTATACAAGAATGTAATAGAAAAGACATTTTATTTGTGACTAGTTGTGCTTAACTCTAAGAAGCTGGTAACATTAGGAAAACATTGTTAATGAAGCATTTGTAAAAGTTCTCATACCACATATATATATGCAAATATATATATATAAACTTAAATTCAGAATGCAGAAATACCAAAACCATGCTTTACAGTATCAAAATTATAAATCTAAATGTAAGCACAGTTAAAGACACCATACCTTCTGCTGAAATTAGGTCATCTTAAATCTTACTTCTCAGAGCAGCGCATATGTAATACAGTGTCCTAGTGTTTTACCTTTCCCCCATAACCTTTGCTCAGCAATGTTGTACACCATACTGTATCATGGTAAGATGAAATCTCTACCATTCCAGCAGTAAAATCATTAAAACAGCTTACTTATACAGCATATTTGTCTGTGCTGAACCACTGCAAATAGCAAAATAAACCTATAAACTGATGGAACACTTAAAAAAATTTCAAAGCACAAGCAAAACAAATGATTCTTTGCTTAGGTTTACTTCTACATACTATTATTTGAAGATATTTTGCTAATCAATACTGCAGAGAAGCTGTCCATCCAGAATTAACAGCAGCTTGATAATATTTAACAGAATGGAAAGCTCCAACCCACTGAACTAATTTAGAAAAAAGCTTTAAATTTGAAAAGCCAATTTTAAGCAGTTACTTTATAAAGATAAAGCCATTCACAGGCAGATGTTGGACTTTTGTAAGTAAACAAAGTATACTTTTGTCAGTCATGTGTACACAGAGTTTTACCAAAATCTGATAGATATAGCAGATTAAATGTTTTATAAGAGATTTATATAATGAAAAGAAAAAGAATTATCCAGTTTTTAAAATTAAGATAAATACTATGACATCAGTTCTGGTATAAGTTATTTAGCTAAGCTATCATGCTCAAGGACAGCAAGGTGGCCAAAGAACAGAATAAAAAGAAATAAATGGACGAGAGCTGAAAAGAGATGAAGTGAAAAGAGATTCAAGTATAGGCCTGAGGTAAGAAGGAGATGGGAAAGGAGAGAAAAAAAGCCAGCATTAACAGAGGAAAGGAAGGGCAAAGCAAAACAGTAATACAAGAGTAAAAAAAAAAAAGGAACCAATACTAATGCTTCTGGTATGGTGGCTACGAGTCAGATACGTGATTAAGCAGCACAGCATTTTGCAACAGAGAAAAATATTTTCCTAGTGTTTTTACAGATAGAGCCATTATTAAAATACATTTCCAAAACTGCTGGTGAATATATACTTGGTTGAACAGCCTTTTTACAGCCATACCCATTTATGGACCTCAACTAAACAACAGTGAAAAAGAACACAACCTCCCTAGTGATTTATGTTTAACAAACAGGTTTAACAGTGGTTTTAAGCAGCGAGATATTTTAGGGCCAGTTATTAGTGCCCTCACATAGTGGGCACTTAGGGTTGCCCTGCTGACTGCAGATCTACACCTACTTTTAGGCTTATATTTTTAAACGTATAGGATTGTAGGTAAAGACCCCATATTTTCCCTGTAATCTAATTCTACAAGCATCCCAAACTCTCCTCTTTCTCACTATAGGCTTAAAATTCCTGACACGAAATCCTGTTTCTTGGCAAAATTATTACTGTCTTTATTCAATTTATTACACAACACTAACGTATGTATTGCATGATTTCGAAGAAATCTTGAGTGCCTTCCACTCTCTCCACATTCTTTATGGTATCCCTTCCATCAAGAAACCTGATCTCTGATGTTCATTCTTTACAGCCCTTAGTTACAGAAGAGTGTTTTAGCTCTGCTGTGCTTCCATTACATCCTTTTCTTCTTCCTCAAAGCTAAAGTGCCTGAACATTATAGTCTTACACATAATAGTCTATTATTTAAGTACTGTTAAGGGGGTCACAGTGAAATGGTAGCCAAACTGAAAGCCTATTAGTTCTGTTAGGTTATCAGGAAACCTGTATTCACCCAGTCTACAGCTGAACTCTGCATTTAGACTTTATTTTAATTCATGTTTTGAATAACATTATCTTTAAACTTGTCCCTGTTCAATTTTTACTGGTAAACTGCAGTGCACAGTTCTAGTTCCATTTTTGTTTTGTTGGTCAAAGTGTTCCTCCAATGTAAACACTATTAACTTGAAAGAGTCAGTGTGTCCTCTTTGGGAAAGGGTAGGTTATTCATTGTATACTGAACTAATGCTTAAGCTTAGCAACTTTGTCTTAGCTCACTTTTTTTTTTTTAAACATTAGAGCAATGATTGCCTCTTTACAAGTTTAGATATCATTTTGGAAATTATCAGTTTAATAACTAAAATCAGGACAAATTTATGTTATAGCAAATGAGTAATGCTGTCTCCTAAAATTCAGTATATGGGCAGATAAAAAAAAAAAAGTCTAAGGAAAACAAATATGCAACATCATTCTTCTATGCCCCTTACTCTAAGATAACAACAAAACCAAACAGAAAATGGTAGAAACAAAGGTCAACGCACTAAAAAAGTTAAGCTGTCAGCATTTACTTCAGTTTCTCCTCTCTGTGAAAAATCTTAGAGGAACAGATGACAACATGATCTCATTGGTCCTAGTTTTACATCGGATAACCAAACCACTTAGAATATTCTATTTCTAACAAGATTTTTTAGTACAGAGATATGGTAAATGTTTAGGATCATACTATGTACTCCAGCATGGAGGACTATCTTAAAAATGGTGCATAGCTATCCAGTGTCAATAGATACAGGGTGCTACTTTTTCTATAAGTTCTAATGAAAAATTCATCTTCACTTACACTCTAGTTCAAGGAATTATATTTCAAACTGGACTGCTTTCAAAGATGCAACACTACTATAACTGTTCATTCAATTTGTTAGTAACTAGTCTAATCTTTTACTTGCAGTAAATTTGGGCAATTGACTGCACAAAGTTACTTGAAATACCTGTTTAAGTTTTCATTTTATATTTAGTTGAAAATATTTCCTATTACTTCACAAATACTACTCCAAATAAGAAAAAGTACTTGCAAAAGATACTTAACTATCAGTTATTTTCAACATCTCTAGCTTAGCAGGAAACACCTAATCAGATGTTTGACTACTGTGTAATTTAAAACACATTACTACCAAACCAACCCCAAAACATCAGTGCATTTACTTGAAGTAATTATTAACATGTATTGAGCAAATGAGTTTACTCTCCATATTCATGGTGTTTCTTTAGAAAGCAGACTAAAAGTGGCAAGAAAATTTTCATAAGAAATGGCTAATTTTCTTTTTCAAACTCAAAGTGCTATGTCTCAGCTTTTGTAGGAACACTTGTTTTTTCTAGGTCACCTGACAAGCTGGTGGCAGTCCTGTATTCTTCAAGCATTCCATCAGAGCTATATCATAAGAGCAGTGATAATTCAGAAGTAAATACATTTATGTCCACTGAAAGGTATCATTCCTACCAGCAGTTCTTTAAGCCAGGGTTTTAGTGTCAGAAAAGGCTTCCCTCACTGTTTTGATTTATTCATTAAGGTACAGTATGAGTATGTAGCAGAATACCTTCAGTAACATGTAACCTCACATTTTAGCACCAAAAGAGATATCCATCCTACAGTATATGAGCTTTGAATTTATAATCAATATGTAATGTACGAGGCATAATGAAAAGGGTTACAAGTATCAAAAGTATATGAACTTGAATTTTACATTTAAAAGCTTGGGGTTTAGGCAGAAAAATATGGTCTTACATGTAATTTACCACAACTGCGTTATTTTTATAAATCGTAATTATTTTCAAGTTAACATCAAATTCACTGTTTCAAACAGCCAGAATTAGCATAAAAGAGGCTTACATACATACATCGTAGGGTAAATTGTAAAAGCATCACTAAAAATCCCTTTCTCATCTTCTAAGATTGTGATTGACTAAAGAGATCTTTTAACTTCCCCCCTATACACACATACACACAGAGAATTAAATACACAGAATATACACATTAATTGCTATCAATTCCCATTCCAAAGTGATGATATTCACTAACTTTCTCCTTATTTACTCACACTCTTACTATCGGACTAAAAAAAAAATTTTAAAAAATCCAGTTTCAATCTCTTCCTAAACAAGATTTTGATAACATGAAGGAGGCAACTGTACATATCATAAAACTTTTAAGCATTGGTCACTATAAACCGGAGGTAGTTTTGAAAAATGTTAGCTTGGATTAATTTATGAAATCAGAAGTAACATTAATCTACAAAAAGATTTTAAAAAATTAAATACTCTCCTGTTAGGAAGATTGTTTCTGTATCATTGTATACATTCTTTTGAAGAAAATGTAGCTTTTTGTTTCTGTGAAGAAAATGTAGCTTTTTGTTTCTGGTTCTCACCCCTCAGCTTTCAAGGGCAGCCAAGACACATGCATTTGCTGATATTCCTCACTAAAAGGGTGCTGATACTTCCTGAAGTTATAACGTGGACTGAATGTGGATTCTCAGCCATTTCCAAGGTCCTTTTCTACTGAAAACAGGTTTTAGTACTTCCTGTAAAGTCTACTAATTTTAAAATAGTGCTTCCAAATCTGCATCACACAGAAATTGCCCCTCAATTTACCTAAAGAGGATTACAATCCTGAAAACCCAGATAAGATCTAGATACAAAGAGATTAACATGAGCTCTTCCACTTTCAGTTTTATTAGTATAAAATTTCACTGGGTAACTTTTTTCCTGCACCAGTCACATGGCCCTACATGTGCCAGAAAATATTTCTTCTGTAGATTTGAAGTGTAACAATGGAAACTGCTGAACCTTAGTAATTTGTTTAAAATACAAGTATTTTTAAAAGACCAAAGAAAAATCCCTCTCAACAAAGTTGCTGTTAAACTGACATTAATAAAAACACTAAACCCACTTTTTTTTTTCTCTCCCATCCTAAGAGTAATTAATCAATTTATTCCTGCAAACAAGCACGCCACAGCAACAGAGTGGGGTGGCGGGGTGGGAGGGGGAAATTAAAAATCTCTCAGTATTTATAATCTATTATAAATGAAATTAAATTATGTATTGTGTAACCCTGTAGCTACTTTTAGCAAACTTCCCACTGTTATTTTAAATTTTGCGCATCAGGAAAAAAAGAGAAAAGAGATTTCTCATCTGCTTTTCTTGTTTTCCCTTCACAAAAAGGTAATAATCTGATATGTATATAATGTGCCATATTATAATAAAGTGTATTTGGCTGGGAGTTCCCAGGGTGAAGTCTGCTGCCAGCAATGGACTCACTGGGAAGAGCAAATGCCTAGAAGATTAAATCAAATCCAAAGTAAAGTTTCGAATAACATCCAAAGCTCCTGTATCAAAGCCACATATATCCAACATGCCTCTGTCATCTGGATCTGCAATTGTAAAACCATTTGAGGTCATTCCGCATACAATCAATTTAGCAGGAATACCCATTTTCTAGAGGAAGAACAAGAAAAAAAAAGATCAGAACACACGTATACAGTAACTTAAACATGCCAGAGAGCCAGAACTTGCTATCTTGCTTGCATAAATTGCTACCTGAATAGGCATACCAACAGAAACTAGGTATGTCATAACCAGAATTGCAGACTACCTGTTAAAATGGTACTTAATCTGCAGTAGATGTATTTAAATCAATGGAAATATTTACAGTGAGGCATATTAACACAACTTTCCTGCACTACTAAGGTTCATAGATTATTTCAAATGCAAACATTGCATTTGCTATTCTGCAGTTCAGTCTGGGAGAAAACATTCAATGATAATTATCAAATCATCTAACAAAGTCAAAGAGTGTGTTTTTGTCTAAGACAAGTATTTCCAAATGTTGGTTGAACAACTGTGGCCTGGACAATTCTGCTAAATGAGCTGAATCTGCAGGTTAGTAACCTGTAAGGTTAAAGCAAAGTAAGTGGCATGAAGGCCAGAGTACAGGAACTCTTTGTTTAAAGAACAAATCTAGGCACGAGAGCTAATCTCAACTAAGAAAACTAAAACACAGTAGGCAGCTTAAAGATTTTTGGTATTGATTTCTGCTGGGTGGACATGATATTAAGATTCATGTTCATACATACATGCTTGCCAGAAAGTAATTTTGTATTTTAAAAAATAGTTCCTTTAAAGAATAAAAGATTGTTTGCTGATTAAATAAAAGTTTCTAATGGCAGTGTGCTCCAAGAAGCTATTTTTCTTAGTTCTATTTTAAAATTATGAAGCTGCACAGCTTAGAGTAGTAGCCCCTTTAAAACATAATGAACTTTCTTGACCAGCTTATCTACAAGCTCATTTACTTCATTAAACTTTGCGGTATCTACTGCAGACATCAAAGTTAAATTTAATTCTGTGATCAAAATTTTATTCTATACTTAATTAATTATACATAGAATGCAGAAATTCATATATTCCTTGAATACCAAAGAAATTGTCATTGATACTGCAGTACACCAAGCAAGGTAGGATAATTGCAAATCCTTTCAGCAATTCAGTGGTTTTAACTAAGCACTTTTTGTGCAATATGTGCACTAATTCTGCCCAACTGCAGAACATATCCGTTTTTAACAATATGTAATTATTTACTGAAAAAGCCACAACTAATTCAGTCTCTAAAACTTTTGTAGAAATGGTATTTATTTTGTACTGTATTCATCAATTATAAACCGTCAGAAGCATTTTTACCTCTCTGTACTCTCTAAGAGCTGTTGCAGGATGAGTATTTCCAGCAAAGGTCTCATTATCAGTAAATACAATGAAGACATCAGCAGCTGTCTGAGTTTTTTGAGCCCATATCATTGGAAGGGAACAATCAGTGGTACCCATTGGAATCTTAAAAAAGTAAAATATACATGGAACACATTAATACAGAAATCAGTAAACCATGGAAAAATTACTTTTTATGTTATCTTCATGTTTTATCACACCCAGAGGCTTCTTTGTTAAACAAACAGTTCACTTACTAATTTCACTTTGGTTTTGTCTAGGACTTTTTTAATATTTTTTTCAAACTCACTGCAACCTAACACTGCCATTCTGAATTGCAATGTTTAATATCTGGCAGTTGAAATAATGACGTTTGCCAGACTTAAGGGAGAAAAAAAATTCCAGTATTTTACTATATTACTATATAGATACTATAATTTGTTACAAAGAAAATACAATATAACTGCTGAGACTTCGAAACTCTGGGGTTAGCAACACTTTTTTTTTTTTTTACATACTTCATACATTTTCACTAATACTTGAGGTAACGTCATATCAGCTGTCACTGGGCAAGGGACGATTTCATGTGAAAAGGCAACAGTATGGGAATCCTTCTCAGTACGTGCTACAACCTGAGAAATAGGAAGACAAAAATAATTTAGTTATAATAGTCAGAATTTTTCATGTCTGAATCAAGGCATTCCCTACCAAACAGAAAACATATCCTTTCGTATTTAAGTCACCATAGCTCTTCATATGTACTAACGCTTCAATCTTCACTTTAAATATTCTGTAATATTACTGCAAGTAAACATTGCAAAAATCAAAGCTAAAGAACTGCTCTAATCACTGTCTAAAGATACATCCATATTTCTTCTCTCCCCTTCAACATAAAACACCAAAAAATTTTTAAACACCAACAAACGTTTGATTCCTTTACACATAAATACACAAGAAGCTTTAGAATATCAAATTGAAGGGAAAGCGATTGTGATAGGCCATATTGATAACTCAAATGCACGCAGTAATTATCCCAAAATTTCTTATTCCAATCTGTATTATTCTATGAATACTTCTGCAAAAAATTAAAATGTATTTTCAGCTAAGACAAGTGAAAAAGCAGCCTTGACCCCTGTGATTCATACTGGAAACCAATTTCTTCAAATTGATCTGTCTGAATTTGTTTGCCATTAACATTAAGCATGTGGTCTACAAGTGAGGCAAAAGATTGCATCTTCTGTACCCCAAAAATATTATATATAAGTTTCCTTCTAATTTCTAACAAGCTTTAGAGCGCCTTTGTAGCAAAAGAACAACTCAAGCTGTAATATATAAAAAGTTTAATCCCTCACCATACACATTGCTGCTGCAACCGTGCTAGCATTGAGCATGCTGCCCAAAACTTTTTGTGTCATTGATGCACTGACATCAACTGCAAGTAAGAAGCGTTTTCCTGTTGGTTCAACTGTCTAAAAGGGAAAAAAGAAAATAAAAGAAAAAAGGTACTGTTGGAAGTGTGGGAAAAGCAAAACAATGAAAAATCTGTAAAACACACATTTCCTTGACACATGGTGCCCAGAACAAACCCAGGACAGGATGGAGATCCAGTGATTTGTGTTTGTAGTGGTGCCAAGGAGGAATGCAAAGTGAGGTGGAGGCTGCATGGTCCTGTTCTTCCACTCTTCTCAAGGACAGATTTAGCTCCTGCTCTTCCCCTTCTCTCAAGGACTCTTTTACAGCCTTGTCTCTCATCCTCCCTCTTCTCCCACAAAAACAGCGCACCCCTCACACCAAGGAATGTGCTGTGTCATTGTTCAAAAGATAATGGCTTGACCACAGTCCCACCCACTCACACATACATACATAGATAAATACTACCCTGAGTTTGCATCTAACTCGGAGGGACGATAATCTGATACCAAGTCAGAGGGACAGATTGATGGGTTTGTGCTCTCGCCCTTCCCCAGAAAGGGATGCCTTTTCGAAAGATTTGAGCCCTTGGCTACAGCGAGTGATTACCCGGGAACTAAGTGTGTGTGATTGCAATAATTTTTCATCTGTGCGTAGTGCTATGTAGCCAACCTGCAGTTTAGGGCATTTATCGCAGGCAATCTTAAAGAATCTGTAAATGTTGCATAAGAATAAACTGTACTATTCATGAACCCGACAGCTTCTCTTGAATGCAACCTACAGAATATGGGCTGTTTGTGCATCTGGTGCCAGGCCTATAGTTACGGCCATAACTGGCATATATCTATTAAGAGATAAATCCAGCTGCCCCTCGGCCCTCTAATCTCTGAGGAATGTTATCCACCCAACAAACTTTTCTTGATCATTTTATAAGCTTTCAGAAAACAGAGAATTTTTAAAAAGCTTAACAAATTGAAAAACTATATTACCTTGAAAGTTTTGTAAAATGAGGCATCTAAAGCTTCTAAAATGTCTTCATCAGGACGCCACCAAAGCTTCCCTCTGCTTCCATGTCCAGCTTTATAAGTTTCTAATGCCACCAAAATATGGAATGGATGTATTCTACCCTATAGGCAAAAAAAAAAATATCAATAGTATGTTTTTCATAATCTGAACTCCTTAAAAAACAAAACAAAAAGAGCAACAAACTAAAACTAAAATCATGCTACAAAAATCTCTCGTTTAGCATACTGTTACTTTGAATTTAGTACATTTGAAGAGCTCATGCAGTCTTTACACAGCTGTTTTATGAACTGATGCTTGTCACAGTTACTGGTAATGGACCCCATTCCCTTTTCAGAATCCTCTGATCAATTACAAATGTCATCTTATGCCACCAGCAGAATTATGGTGAAAATTCACAGCTTTATCTATGGTTGTCCGGTGATATTTTCTATCACAGGCTTACACTAAGAGAAAGTCCCTGACCTGCTGAGAGGAAAGGAGTTGAGCTAGGAAAAGAACAAACTTAAAACCAGCTTTGTTATCAGATACACTAACACTGGACAAAGAAACTATTTTCAGAATATAGCATTTATTTTCCTTTTACTGCAAGAGGACAGTCCAAACATTTTCTTCTTTTTTTGCTTTCCCTACATAAATCAAATCAGTGGCTGCCACATGTTAAGTATTCTAAATCACATCATCACTTTATTGATTTATGAACATTTTGTTATCTTTTTCCTCAAGGTGAGTTTCAGTCATTAATCACTACTAGCAGCAAACCTTAGGACACCTGAATTGCTTGTCTACTGTCTTTCTTCCATCACGGTACTGTGCCACCATCTTTTCTCTCCCTTCTCCAGTGCCTCAGTAACTATGTATGATTAAAGAAGAAACCAAAGAAAGGGAAGAGCGGTTGGATGGAAAAAAAAAGACCTACCGTTGTTCTTGCTGATTCAGCTATGGTCTTGAAGAACTTAAACGTCCTGATTTTAATCCCCCCAATTCACAAAACTATTAAAAAAACCTCTTCTATATCTCCCATTAAATTCCTGAAAATGTTGTTCTCCCTTTGGGGAACCCTGTTTCCCTATTATTTTCTTACCTCTTTGATGAATAGTAAAGCAATCTGAAAGGAGAAAGTCTCCTTGGTTCATCTTCTTTTTCCTCTCAGCTGCTGTGGTAGTTTTTTCATTCACTTCCTAAGATGCTACACAAGTGACTTCCAATCACTTTTTAAGCCTGCATTGATGATTCTAAATTGCAAAACTCAGAAGCAATGGGCGAACCCAAAAAGCAAAGCTTGCCACAACCCTAATTTAAGAAAAGATCCTAGCTGTCAATATACTTAAGTTGTAGAAAAATTTCAGAAATAGAGGGGGTTTGGAAATCAAACAAAAAATGAAAAATGCAAGTTTTCAAATCAAGGTGCAGGTATTCCACTGCAGTTTTTTAAAGCTTCCTCCAAAGAACATCCCTTTTACTTTGTACAGAGGTTGCCTGAAGAAATAAAATTTAGGAAGAGACTAAAACCCAAAAGGGCTGGCACTGATTAAGAAGTAGTTCCTACCTTTTTTAGCAGTTTCTCATTTCTCAGTCTTTCACATACTATTGCCACTTCTGAACCTCGAGGTTCAAGCACTGAATTTGCTGTCAGCTTTCCCAAATTTCTCAACAATACAGAAATGGACATCTCCTTCAGCAATGCCTTCCAAACCTATGATCAAAGAAAGTGAAAGGAAAAAGGCTATGAGATTCCCGAACTACAAGAAATTATATTTGTACGTTAGTGTATTTTAAAATAAGTGTACAAGTTACATGAAGATCTTAATTTTAAATAGCTACTTGGGTAAATAACTTGAAAAATAGCATAAGGTCTATCTTTAATAGAAATCGAGACTTCAGACTCTGAAAAGTGTTGCTCTGAAGAAAACACGAAGCTAATCAAGTTTACCCACCTCTTTAGATTTTAGATGGTTGGTCAGGAGATGCTCTCTAACTAGGCCATATTCCTCTATTAAATGAGTAACTTCCAATTCATCTTTTGTGCGTTTTACCTTCTCCACAGCTTCCAGATACTTTAAGAGTTTTTCAGTCTCAGCAGAAACTGCTTTGTCTTTATAAGACTCTTGGACATCTTTCCACCCTTTGGTGATATATTTAGTGACTATAGCAATTCCTATTGAAAAGAAAAATATTTTCCAAGCAGGATTATTGTCTTTATACTGGCATTTAATATTCTAGAAAGCAAATGAGTTAGCTGGTTTCATTTTCAGATCTGCCAATGTGCTATAAAAAAGGTCAGCCCCAGACAGCTTAGAGCATTAGTTTTAATTACTGTATTATTCTCCTTAGAAGTAAGGAGCCTAATGCATTTGAAACCAACAGATCTTCTCAAATAATAAAAAAGTGTTATTTCATCATTTGTAAGAAAATCGGAACAAATTGAGGGAATTGAATTATTTTAGCTTTTCTTGACAGAAGGAAGAAAAAGAACAAACAAACTCTGTTTACCTTGAAGATAAACAGGTCAATTTTTGATATGATCACTCACACTTTTAAGGTGCAATTGACAGGATACCATCAATAAGAAATCAGTCTACAATGGTACCTGGGTTTCCAAAACAGTTCCACAGTAAATATAAAAGGTTTAAAAAACAGTATTTTCAAGTAAATAAAAATTTATTACCTTCAGTGGCAGGTTTTAGGTGGGACAGCCTCAGAAGATCTTTATGAGACCAACCACTTTGTTGTTTATATTTTGTAACTGCTGAAGCAACAGCCATGCCATTCTTTCCATTGTACCAATCTGCAACAGCTTTCCTCAGTGCACGGCCCCACATGCCACATTTCATGCCCTCTTTCAGATCTTTCTTGAATTGGATGAAAGTAAAGAGATGGGTTGGTATGCAACACACCTCAGAAACAGCTTTAAATGCTGCTTGTTTTGTTTTTGCATCAGAACACTGTGAGCAAATTGCAAGAGCAAAAAGCAGGGGCTCCTGTTTTGCTGCTCTGCCTTCTTGACTAAATGTTTTTATTTCTTGAACAACTTCACAACCTCTGCCCTCTTCAATTAGTCTTACTAAAGCTTCTGCATTTTCAAAGCCCAGCTTCTGCTCCTTGATGCAATAAGTACCACCTTCTGAACCAAAACACAAGAAACGTTGCAGTCGATTCATATCGGTGACATGCCACACATAACCATTTTCAGAGTTCGGCACCTGCTTTTCATTCAGGAGTTGCACTTGGTTTTCCTCCTCCATTGTTTACACTTCCAAGAGGTCTGTTGAAAGAATAATGAAGTTTATTAAGAACTACCGTGAAAATATGACTATTCTTTTTATCACTTCTTAGCAAAGTACATATATATTATCTACACACTTGTAATTTTTCCTGTATAAATGTAGTAAGAGTGCAATAATACATATCAGTCAGGGGAAAAGAAACCAAAAATCTCTGAGTTAAAATGGTGAAAAATTTATTTCCTTAAAATCAGCTTCAAAATCCAAATTTAACCCCATTAAGTGGCACACAGAAAACATGGCTGGCATTACGCCCTTTTGCCACTAATACATTACACCACTTTCTTAGGTGGATTTTTGGATTGTGTACTAAATTGCTCAAAACTCAGATCTTGCCCTACTCTATTTTGCTGAAGAACTGGTAATACTGACCAACTGAAGAAGCATGATGCTAAAACAAAGAACTAAAATACTGAAAAACTGCTTAGCAGGTTCCAGTGAAGAGAACAGCCTTTTAAGAGACAGTAGTTCAAGAAAATATTATATTTATTACAAGTTCAAATAGTCTGCTCTTTCCAGTGAGATCCAAGAAAACACACAGACACAAGTTCTGTACTGCTCTACATTTGAGGTTAAGAAGCAAAGAACAGCACAAAAATTCACAATCCTTCAGGTCTTTACACATTCTTGAGTTGCAAGAGAGTTCAGCTGTAATATTTATAGGCAACAACACTGCTCTTACATGGAGAACATGTAACATGGTAAAATTCAAGCCATAACATTTAAACTGAAATAAATGCAGGTGAAATGAAATTAGCAGGGTAAGGGGAAAAAATTCACCATCATCAGTATCTCCAAAACATTAGTATGACAACAATAAATTCTGTTTTCTCAGTTCTCACCAAACAATAAAAAGCCTCTAAATAGCACCAAGAGGTCCTATTGAAAAAGAGCATCAATAATCCGTTCCATCAAACTGCACATAGATCTTAAAATACATAAACACTAAAGTCTGAGAGCACACAAAAGACATTTCAAAGAAATCCTCTTTATTTTTTTAAATATTGAAAATATCAACCTTTGACATGCTTGCCTGGATACTGAAGATAAAAGCCAGTTTGCTTAATTTACCAGGATAAACTAGCACAAATAAATGTCACTAATGTAGACATAGATCTTTTTCTCCCAGTTTAAGTAACACACTAATTTGCAACCAACTTCCCTATTTTCTCTGGCACAGACTTTTCCTTTCTCTGAAAGGGACGAGAAACGTACCCTTCCTCCATTCTTGCCTATCTACCATGATGTTCTGTCTGCATCCAGAATTAAAGAATAAATAATCATCACTGCTCCTATTATATTCTATATGCTGCTAAAATAATAAAAATAGAAGCCATATGCTGATACATGGTTTAAAAATGCAGGTCTCAGTTAAAAAATAACTAAGAAATATCTTTCATAGCATTATTCAGAGCACCAGTGCTCAGCTATTTTTCTTAGTGCTTAAATATTCTAATCATGTTTCCTGCCAAACCAATTTAAATACACATCATGGTTGAGCCGACTTTTTCACTGACATCTGAAGCATGCAAATACAGTGAAAATAACAAGGGTGGCATTCACAATGCATGAATACCATATCAGTACATTTACATGTCTAAATACATTTTATTTCAATTAGCTGGTTTCATTAAACAGTAGGTAGTGTTTCATAATAAACATACAAAACCCAAACAAAAAGTCCTGCAATCACTGTCAGCATCCATTAGTTTATTTATCAGAAAAAAAAATGGTACCTGGAAAGATACTCACAAACACCATTAATTTGAAGCAAAAATAAGAATGGGAACCATAAAAGATCATGCATGAGTAAAAAGATCTCCATATACATGAAATCTTGAGAATAATTTCTTGCTGCATCTTTCACACCCCTGCTATAATAAATACTACTACATTAAAATGAGATTAATGGAAGAACTCTTTTCGGTCACGTATGGACTACCAAGACTTAAACTGAACTGAAAGGACCATGTCTTTGGCTAAACAAAACATTTGTGATCTCAGTTTGCTGATTATATTAAGAAATACCAGCACTACTTTGAATATTTTAGGCTTCTTCCTACATTTTTCCATTTGCACAGGTTCCATCTGATATTTCCATTTTATTTTAATTCTCACTTGGAGGGTCTCACTTGTCCCTACACGCTTAGTTCTATAGTCGCTAATACAAATTAGCTGCCATTGTCATCACCACCCTGAGAATGGAAAGAAAACCCAAATTAAATAACTATAACAGTTATAAAATTACAAATAGCACTTATGTTTTGAAGTCTAGATTTATTTATAAAATACTGTAACATAAAATCAGTATTTCCATCAAAGGTATCATCCTGAAAGGCAAACAGTTCACTGTTACGTGTGAATATGCAGTGTGGTGTAAGCTGTATGCTGTACTGTATTAAAGAACTTTAGAGCTAACCATCAAATAAAAAAATTCTCTGGCTGCACTTCTCTATTACACTGTGTAAAAAATCTAACTTACATTAATAATGTACAATTTTTATGTTTGCTTTTGTGTGGACTAGGTTTTTGCATGGACTTGCAGTCCTGAGAAAAGATAATTGCTAGCATCCGTAGGCTTCCGACACAAACATCTGTATTTTAAAAGATAGTAGGAAATGTACACTTATAGCTTTTCTGAAGCTACTTCTAGTTTTTCTGAAGCTTAGCTCTTTAACTTGCCTTAGGAATATACTATGAGCCACAAAAACAGATGCTGTTATGATTTCCACCTTTTGTAAAGCTTCATTTTCACTCAGCCCTCAAAGTCTCCTTCTCAGGCAGAACATAGTACTTTGCAATGGAATGAATTACCTGCAGTACCTATCCCATTAAAAATGTTTACAACAAGTCTTCTGAAACCTTTAATAAAGTTATTAATGCTTTCCGATAAGCAATCTAGGATACAAACTCGACACCTCAAACAGCTTATTGCTTCCTCGGACAGAGCTTCAAACAAGTGTAATCTTTTGGATCCTAATACAAACTGTAAATTCTTTAAAGTAAATTTATATTTTAAAAATTACCCTCAAAATCTGCAGTAGCTGATGCAAATCAGTAATTCCACAACTGAACAGCCACACTAGTAAGTATCAAATTTAAATTTCATCAGGATCTATTACAAAAGCCCTTAATCAGTGTTGAACTATTTATATCATTCTGGCCACTTCTAACTCCTGTTTTATATTTCAACCTCACAAGTTCCCGAAGCTATTCCTTACTTCTAACCAGTCCCTCTCCTCTATCCAGACCTCGAGCTTATTTTCTCGTTTAACACAAATTCACCCTTGCAGATGGATAAATGAAAATGTACAGTTCACATACGCTCTCCTATAAGTCTACTCTTTGTCTGCTGAACTGCAGCAGCGAACTTGAATTTCAAACACTCAGAGGAGATTTATCAATTATATTCTGTTTCCATAAGCATTTTCAACTTCTGAGCTACTTGAATGCAAAGAACAATGTGAAAAGCCTTAAAAGTCACAGATTACATACTTTATAATGAAAATTGCTGAACTAAAATTCATGGTTGCTCACCATTATTAATGAAAGAGAAAAAACACTAAGGCAATTTTTTTTTGTATTCTGAACACCATATAACTTAATCTGTAAGTAAAATACTGCTTTGATTGGTCTGAAACACCCCATACAGCACTTACATCTTGATTGGTAAGGTAGTATCTTTATCTTGCTGTACCGTAACACAACTGAGTTTTGCAAGTTAACCTCTGTTAGGTTCTATGAACTTTACAATTCACCCCTAGTTTTCCTAAGAAATAACATGTCTTATAGTATAAATTTCAAGTACATGTGAAAAAAATAAATACAAAAAGCACAATATTTTAATAGAACTACAGGCTCTAACTTAAGTTCTTAAATTTATTGCTACATTAACAACGATGAATCAAACTTTGCAGTGAAAACACATGGAATTAAACTTCAACCAAGTCAGATCTTTCATAAAAAACATGCGTTGACATTTTGAAGATAACACTTCAAGCTACCTTCAAATACTTCAAAATCATATTTTGTTCTATAAGAAACTGCGTTCTCCCACTCTCAAAATTTTGTATAAGCATTGAACTGAAGATTAGTCTTCTTGTTTATTCAACAGAGACTATAACCACACACTGAGCTATGGTTATAACAAAACACACCTGCACTACAGCAGAGCTCTGACAACATGAGTCCTCATACTTCAGAAAATAAGCATCTCTATACAAACAGGAGTCGTGGAAAAACGTTTCTCAAACCACAAATAGCACGATCACCAGTAAGGTGACAGTACACGTCCATGTACTTGCTCAAAAAATTCTACTATAGAATTTGTTTAAAAGACCATTCGCTTACAAAATTTGACTGGAGGAGAAAAGGTAGCTTAGGTGACGTATAAGAAAGTAATGAGGAAAAACCCTCTAAAGTTGGTACCCGAAAACCTGTAAACTCAGCGGTCCGTTCCTATACAGATAGTAAACGCAGGCGCCAGCCAAGCAGACGACTAATCCCAAACGACCCGCCCTTTCATCGCCCCACGGGGCTGCCAGCGCCCAGGTGCCAAGCGGGAGGTGGCCATTTACAGAGATGGCCTCTCCGCATCCCTTCCCCACCCATGCCAACCCGCCGGACGGGCCGCCCGCTACCCGCCGGGGCTGGCACTGAGCGGGAGCCCGCACCC